GGAGGCGATCAGATGCCTGATGTGGACGAAGCTGACGAGGCCAGACATCGCCCTGCCGCTGAACAAGCTCCAGAAGATCGCCCACTCACCCACCGGCAGGATATGGAACGCGCTTGTGCGGATCATGTCATACCTGAACTTCACGAAGGACTTCGGCATCACCTACGTACGGGGGTCAGGACAGACCTAAGCGTGTTTGTCGATGCCAGCTACGCTGACAAAACGAAGTAGACATGCGTTCTACGACCGGGCTAGCTGTAACCGTAGGTGGTACCGTAGTGTGTGCATCCACCAAGACGCAGCCAGTGACGGCTCGGTCGACCTCGGAAGCAGAGTATATGGCAGCCGGGGAGGGCGTGAAGGAGGCGTTATTTGTGCGTGGCGTTCTGTCGTTCATAGCGCCCGAGACGAGTGGGGCGAAGATCAAGGTCCTTGAGGACAACAAGGGGGCTCTCGCCTTAATCGAGAACCCGTTCAGCTCAGCGAGGAGCAAGCACATCGACGTGCGGTTCCATTTCATTCGCGAGCTATTCAAGTCGGGCAAGATCACTGCAGAGTATGTTCCGACTGGAGAGCAGCACGCCGACATGCTGACCAAGGTCCTTGGCAGAGAGAAGTTAGAGTACCACCGGAAGGCTCTAATGAACCTACCGATGTAGTGTTCTCTTGTTCTGTTTGGTTTATGTGGTGGTTTTAGCACGTGGCATATATGACCATGGTACGTCACGCAGGAAGCGTTGTCNGCACATCGACGTGCGGTTCCATTTCATTCGCGAGCTATTCAAGTTGGGCAAGATCACTGCAGAGTATGTTCCGACTGGAGAGCAGCAAGCCGACATGCTGACCAAGGTCCTTGGCAACGAGAAGTTAGAGTACCACCGGAAGGCTCTAATGAACCTACCGATGTAGTGTTCTCTTGTTCTGTTTGGTTTATGTGGTGGTTTTAGCACGTGGCATATATGACCATGGTACGTCACGCAGGAAGCGTTGTCCCGGCGCGTCACCCGCGGCTGGAGCCTAGAAACGCCGAGAGCTTTGCTTCGGGTGTGTAATCAGCGTGACCGGTTCAATCTGTCCTGCCTTGGTCTTGTATTGGAAGTGCGGCCGTTGGAATCCTCCGTGTTAGCGACGGTTTTCTATATTTAGGGTGTTCGATGAGGGTTTTTGATCCGGCTGGCCGGGTTTTCCCTCGAGCCTGTTGTTGTTTTGGGTCCCTTTGGTAGATCAGGGGTATCCATGCCCCACGTTAGGTTTGCCGTTCGCGTGCAAACCGGGGAGGGTGTTCGTGTGTTTGGATACGGACTGGTTAGATCTACCGGCAACAACAGAGGGCACGCATATGGGGCATATGTACACCTTGAAATGGTTGTATGTGCGGAGACCCCTCGAACTCCAAAGAGGGCTTCACTTCTCCCTACTCCCCTTGCGTGTCTAATACAAGAGATAAAACGTCTTCCCCCTTCCAAGTAAAGGACATATACGAACAGGTGCCTCTCTGTGCTGTATTTGCTTTGACGCGCTGCTGTTGACTGACAGGTGGTGTTTGGCGTCTTGACCCTGACGTGAACCTCGTTAGCTTCCCCACCGTCGTCGGGATTGATCGCGGCTTGCTGCTGGCGGTGCACAACTGGCCTGAATCCCAACAGCACATGTTCGCATGGGTGGGTGACTCGGGTCGGATTGGTGGAACAGCAGCAGCACGCTTGTGGACAGTGTGCCGAGAAACGTTGTTAGCAGGGGGAGGGGGGAGAAGCGCCACGCGGTTTTTGTTGTGCGATGTCCGACGGACAGAGAGAGTAGGACAGGTTGTACTGTTTTCTTCTGTAGAGGGCGTTACTGGCGCATCTGTGTGCGAAAGTCGTTCCAGTAACGGAGTCAAGAAGATATCGACAGACAGCTGCCAGCCACATCTGACACGTAGTAGAAGAGACATGGCGTAGGGAAAAGGCACGTACATACATACATGTACGTGGTTAGCTGCCAAGGCAACGAACATCTTGCCTCCTTTCTTGTTGCATCGCCGGTACGCCGACATCAAAAATGATCATCACAGGCGGCCGCCGCGCGTACCTTCGTGGTGGTGTGGATGTTGTTCCGCATGTACACCTCGGGCCGCCTCTTGAGGAAGCTCCCCTACGTGCCAAACCGATTCCGGCAGCTTTCTTACAGATTCTTCGGTCTCTAGGTATTCCCTTGTTTTGATTGTTGTTGCTGCGCTGACATTGTTCGTATTGGGTACTGCTGTTGCTGTGGTTGCTCACGTCCATCGGTTTGCGTAGCCAAACCACGCTGTTCCCTTTCACGAATAGGTCCACCCACAAATGCCGTAGGCGCCGTCAGCACTCTGTGCCCTCGGGCATGAGTCCATTATTTTTCGTCTGGCATTGGTTTCTCTTGCCCTCTCCGTGGCCATGCTTGTACATGTTCATGCGCTCAAGAGTGCGTCATTGAATGGGCGCAAGAAGGTGGCATCCCGTTGCTGACACGAGAACATGAGTCGTGTATTTTTGTGGATAAGCGATACACATATGGTTTAAAAGCAGGTTCTCTCCTTTCACTGCTGTCTGGATGGATTCTTGGCGGGTTTCCCACGGCTTGTTGTGCCCGAAAGGAGCTTGATATTTGGTCCTCTAAGCGGGCCTGACCGGGATCGCATGTAATTAGGGGTGCAGAGCGGGACCGCGGGTCGCCAGCGCATCAAGGAGTTTTTCCTGGGACGGTACGGAAGACCCAACCAATCCAACGTCATGTCCAAGCAGAGAATATTCGTAACCATGTCTGTCGCCGTTGTCTTCCGCGTCCTTTCTTGTGGAATTTCCCCGTGAAATTCTTTTCCTTTCATTTTGGCAGGCTCTTTTGCTGCGTATCGTGTACGTGATGTTCATGCTGTGGCGGCTGATCGATACCATCAACGATGACGTGGGCGAAAAATCCCGCCCCGCTGAACTCATGCTCTCGGTCAAGACCAGACAGGTACCTACCTACCTATGACGCCTTCACCTTGAGCGATACTGTTGGCATCCTAGTGTACATCGATGGCTTCTGCGACATCTTTCGACGCTGTATTCTGTGTTTGTTGAAGAGCTCGCGCCAACAGGAATCAAGCAGTGGAAGGGCTTGGGGGGTACGGTAAAGGGGCTACGCCGAAAGCGAGAGGGGGTGGAGGTGAGCAACGGGAGAGAAACCCTGACAGGGAAATGTCCGTGGAGTGTTGCTCTTGTATCCCTCTAACCTCTACTCCTCTAATTTCAGTCGACACCGCTGGTTGGGTGCGCAGGGACCGTGATGGAAATCTAACCTGTCTCGACGCCCACCCATGCCTCGATTGTGCTTCTGCTGGAATGTTTCGGCTGTTTGGTTGGTCTTCGACCTGTGCCTTTTGCAGCCATCGTGACCGGTATAGTCTAGACGTTTGTCCGAGGTCAGAAACCAACCATCCGTGAGCGACATCCATGGTCAGGACTGGTGTTGTGAGGATATATAGGGCGGTTGTGGACTATTGTCGTCCAATATGTCGCCCCCGCCGAGGCCCTCAGATGATGTGGGAGTGGTCACTGCACCTGGCGCATGTCTTGTTTTTTAGCTTGCGTTACCTCTGGTTTTGTTGTCGATCTGTGGTTCTTGCCAGGACCACCTCGCAACGGTATCGACCTTGTGTGCCTACATCCTGCAGCTGTTTGTGCTCTTCCAGCCCTCGTTATTCAAAGAGTCCAAGTTTTTCAGGAATATCGCTCTAAGCTGGCTTTTGCGTGTGCGTGGGAGCAGGAGTTAGCTTGAGGGGGGGGGTACTCTTATGTTTTGCATGCCTTAGCGGTTAGACCATTGACCACGCGTCCTCCAGAGGACGGAGCATTGTTCCCACAGGACCGATCACCGATGGCCAATCGTTCCCTTCTACTTTGCCAAAGGTGGCTCAAAAATGTCTTCCCTAGTCTGTCTATCCTATCGATATCCCTTCCCGCCTTTTCAACTCACCTCCTATGTCCCAGGACAGCTACCGTCCTTTCCTCTCTATTCCATGCCTCAAACATCTCCCTGTACGTTCCATCTATTTTTCCCAGCTCAGTCACGTACACTTCCCTCTCCTTCTTGTACAACGGACATTCCGCGACTACATGAACACGGTCTTCGCATTCGAAGCCGCAATCACATTTGAACTCGTCGTCTTCGTCGTCTATCGTCCTATAACTTCGTCGACATTCTCGAAGGCCCATGTCCCCGGTCCTGAATTTGACCTTGAGCTTTGTTCCTGCATCCATTGGTCCATGAAGGNACGTCCTCTACAACCTTGACCCATTCCGTGGGTTGTCTACCCCTCTTTTTGTTTGCCCACTTCGCCTCCCATACAATTCTCGGCAACCTCTCCTCTCCCATCCCGCACATGCGATACTGCCAGGTCAGCTTCCTCGCGTCTCTTCCCGACCGTAGGGATTGGATCCCCAATTCTGCCCTCACGGCTGCATTACTTGTGCGCCTGGAGCATCCTAGGATGATTTTCGCTGCTTTCATCTGCGCCGCCTCGAGGTTTTTCACTACCTTCTTATTTCCTTTCGATACTTCTCCGGCGTACTCAAGCGGCGGTACGATAACGCTCTTCAAAACCGTCAATTTGATGCGTGTATCGAGGTGCCGGTTTGCGAGTATTGGGTGCAGCTTCCCTGCTCGTGCTTTGCCCTTTTCCGCTACCTTGGACATGTGTGCATTCCACGAGCAGTGTTTTGCGATATCTACTCCGAGGTATATGTACTGGTCCACTATTGCAATCTCCTCGATCCCCCACTTCCATCTATGTTCTACTGGTTCCTCCTTGTTCCCGTTGCATACCATGATGGCACTCGTCGTAACGTTGGCAGACAAGCTCCACTTATCAGTATACTTCTTGGCCGCGTCAATTTGCAGTTGCAGTCCCTCAGGGGTGTCCGACATACCGACAAAATCATCCGCAAACAGCATTCCTGACACTGAAGTTGCCGTGTCCCCTACTCTTACTCCCTTCCGGACTGCGTCTACAACTTCCAACAGATCGTTGATGAACACCTGGAACAATGTTGGGGACAGCGTGCAACCTTGTGGGACCCCCTGCTCAATGTCGAAGAATTTTGACAGTTCTCCGTCTAGCATGACCGCGCTTTTCGTGCACTCTGTCATCTTCTTCAGCACTCTCCACATTTTCCCCTTTATCCCGTATTTGGACAGTTGTTTCCACAACCCATTTCTCCATACGGTGTCGTATGCCTTTTTCACGTCCAGGAAGAAGCAGTACGTCGGCTTTCCCGCCCTCTTTCTACCTTGGATGATTCTCCCTACCGTGAATACGTGGTCTACGCACCCCCTCTTCTTTCGGAAACCTGTCTGGCCCTCACTAATGCTATGTTCCTTCTCCAATACTCCCACTATCCTATCGTTCAGCTGCTTACAGAACACTACTCCTACTGTGTTCAACAGTGTGATCCCCTGTAGTTTCCTGGATCAGTCTTGTCTCCTTCCTTAAACAAGGTCACAACCACTCCTTCCCTCCGTCTACTTGGCGTATACTCGTTTTTCTACGCCCATTTGTACAGCAGTACCATCAGCTGGATCATCCCCTTCCCCCCAAACTTCATGAACTCGTTGACTATCCCATCCGCTCCTGCTGCTTTGTGGCACTTCAGCTTGTTCACACACGCCTCAACCTCGTCCTCAGTGAACTCCTTTTCTAGTTCTACGTTCCCAACGTCTGCCTTCGATGTCTCTTCTTCTTTTTGGGCCCATGCGTCCACCTCCTTCTTAAACGCTTGGTCAAAAGCTTCATTCTCCGAGGGCACTCCAAGTCTCTTGTAGTGTCCTGCTAGAACTTCCCTTTTTCCCTTCCCACTGCTGGCTTATCCACCGTTCACACCTCGCAAACTTGCTACCCCTGTATCCCGCCTTGCGCGGTCGTTTTTGCCATTCCAATCCCTTCCCACATCAGCTTGGCCCTGTACTTTTCCCAACTCTCCTCAGACGCCTCACTCAGGTACTGCTTGAAGACTTCACTACGTTCCCCTATTTCTTCTTAAGCTCGTCATCCCACCACTTACTTAACCGATACCCAACATCGTACCACCGTTTTACCTACTACTCTCTCGGCCGTTGCGTTCACGATGGACTCTCACACTTCAATCACCCTGTCCCCTGCTGCTTGTACGTCTACCTGTCCGTCTTCGGTGCTTCTCAGCAGTTTCCTGAAGGGCTCTACACTATTTACCAGCCAGTCCCTTTTGGAATTCATCCCGTGTCCCCTCTTCTCCCAAACGCTCTACTTTCCACCGGAACTCTTTCCTCTGTTTCTTACTCTTCATCTTTCTAGATCGGTCGATGTTTGCCCATATGAGGAAGTGGTCGGTCGAACCTATATCTATCGCACTTACATGCAGCTCTGGGATCTGTGTGCTCCCCCTATGTACCAGGATGTAAGTATCCATTGCAAACTGCCCGTTGCCTGGTGAACTCCGGCTTATCGCATTCCCTCCTACCGTTCAAGACCATCAGTTCGTTGCTTCCCAAAAATTCAAGCATTCTCACTGCGTTGTCATTCACTTTGTCTTCTCCGTGCTGCCCGACCGCCTGTCCTCTACTGGAAACTTTCCCTACTCTGGAGTATAAATCGCCCACCATGACACCTTCTCCCTTCCTACTGAACCTCTGGACATCTTCCCCAATTTGTCCAAAGTTCTCCTGCGCCTTGCTTGCGACTTTCTTCGACGACGGTGGGACGTATACGTTCCCTAGAAACAATTATTTCCCTAGTTTGCTTACCATGTCCCCATCCTTCAATTCCCACGTCTCCTGGATCCCCACAACATCTAGATCGCTTT